TTTGCAGTACTTGACCAACCAGTATAAGAATCGAGTTGTAAACAAATATAACATTTTTCTAATTTGGTATTCGTGATTCGTATTCGTAAAAATTCAAAAAAATATTGTTTAGTATTTAAAATTTATTCGAATTTGAATCCGACTTCGAACATTCACATATTCGATTTGTTAATAATAATTATATATAATTGAATATACTATATATTATAGAATATTTTTTTTTTATATATATATCTAAATATATTAAATATAAATATAAAACACGAAAAATATACTTATATATAAAATGCATATTTGATTTATTTAAAAAATATATAAATATATTTAAATATTTATAAATAATTCTGAAAACGAATTTCGAATCGAAAACGCATCACAAATTAAATTCGATAACGAATCGAGTACGAATACAAACTCGAATATTTTCACAAATTTCAATGAAATAATTGGATATTCGCTTCGATTTGAGTGGTTTCGTTTTCAACCTTAATAGAACCAACAAGAGATCGGAAATCTATATAATACAAATAATTGCTAGCAACAAATTTAATAAAACTCTTTAAGTTTTTCCTCCACTTTCTGTTACTTTTGCATTAATTGAGTACTTATATTTTTTATTTATTTTATTATATAACAACTAATACTAACAAATAATGAAGTCACATTTAGTGGTATTTTAATCTATTTTTTTTAAACTATTTATTTAAAACAAGTACAGTACCCGTGCGATGCACGGGGCTTTATTATTTCCGTCCCTTTTAAAATGTAATTTTGAATTAAAGGAAGGATCATGCCATTACTAATTATTAAATATAATGAAAATAAAATCTATATATTATTGAACACTTCTTTACCAAATGATATGTACCTCCTACAAAAATCTCAAATCTCGGGAACATCAACACCGATGAATAGGGTCACATCCTTTGATGTGGTTATTCGAACTTCACCTAATTAAAAAATATATTGGATTCACCGATCAAACAAAAAAATATCGAGCTATTTAATGAGTTTAATTATATTAAAATTAATGACATACGTCCTCACTCCTTCGCACGGTACATTTGCATGATGAGGACAAAAGGTTCTTCTTGATTTTAGTAATGATGCTCAAAAGCAATCAAGTGGTCAGCATATTGGCCCCAAATCGTACAGTTCTTCATGTTTTCCCTACACGATGTCGAAAAAAAATTTAAAAGGCATATTATATGTTAAGAAACATTCAAAACAATTATTATATATACTGATAGATCAATAATATGAATATATAATGATAAGGATTCTGACTCTAAGTCCATAAGAGAGAAAACGATCATTTGGGTAGGAACTCCCTCGCTATCCTTCATTTGAATAAGTTGTATAGAAACAACCAATCCAATTAACATCTACAAAAATATAAGACAATGATGCGTATAAATAATAATATAAGGATAAATTACCTCAGAATCTTGAAATATAATCTTAAGAACGTTTCGATAATTGCGCTCGTCTTCAATGCATTGGAATATTATAATGATGCGTAGCTTGATTATTGGCCTATTAGTTCTTTTATACCTTTGGTTTTTCCAAAAACCAAAGTCATTTTGAATGGGGATGGAAAAACTTATTCAAAAGTGTGTTTTGTGGGTTGCGTTATTTCCTGTTGACGTTTGGTTCAATGCTCACACCAATGCGGTGTTTATATAGTGATTGTGCATGTGCCATCCACCTATAACTTCGAGTCTAAAAAAATTATAAAAACAACATTTGAAAATAGAATTTTCAGATATTTGGTAATGTAATCAATGATTGACATTAAATTGATTTGCTTTTATTATCCTAACTAATTGGATAATGAATGACACAAAGTTCAAAGCTAACAAATTTTGTTACAAAATAAAAAAAGGATAGAAAATCTGAATTGATTTGAATTCATGTAACCAATTAAATATGCAAAAATTATGTATGAGATATCAATTAATTTGAATTTGATTTACCAAAACTATTTGATTTGTTTATAAAAAATGTACTGATACGGTTTTTAATATGTGTATCACATTCAAATCTCACATTTTTCAAATTCAAATGCTTTCCAATTGTATGGGATATTATTGATTTGAGTTTTGAAAACCTAAAACCCTTAATTTTAAAGAGATTCACATGGATTTAGGTAGGAACTAATAAGAGGATCAATTTAGTTACCAAATAAATTGGCTTGGCAATATACAATCCAAATATCCAAATTTTGAACCATTTATCACGTGTGTGTTTTAATTTGTTACTTATAAAAGTAAGTCATCTATTTATTTTTTAAGTCAAAATTATTATTTATGTATTTTTTCAGCAATATTTTTATGAAGTTTATTACCAAAAATAAGCCCAAAGGATCTGATGATATCGTGAAGGTTGTTACATCAAAAATTATGCTAAAAACGAACCCCTTACCAAATTTTCGGCCAGAGATTGTGTAAATAATTATGAAATTTGTTATAAAAAAAAATCCCAATGAATCCGATGATATTATGAAGGTTTTTTTTTTAAAAAAAATGATGCTAAAATTCAAACCCATTACAAAATTTTGGCCAGAGATTTTGTGTAAGTAATTATGAAATTTGGTACCAAGAAAATCCTCAAAAATTCGAACCCCTTACCAAATTTTCAGCTAAAAGAATTACCAAAATTGCTAGAGATTTTGTGTAAATAATTATGAAATTCGTTACAAAAAAATAAATAAATAAATAAATTAATAAAGCCCAAAGAATTCGATCATTTTGTGAATGCTGTTACAAATTTAAAATGCTCAAAAATTCGAACCCCTTACCAAATTCGGCTAAAAGATTTACCAAAATTCTTAAAAATCATTATGACACGTGGCTTGTATAATATTACTTATATACTTTATTTTTTAAGTCAAAGTTACAATGCAAGTATTTTTCCAATAACCTCTTTATATTACTATATATAATAATAATAATAATTATTATTATTATTATTATATTAATTATTTTATCTCTACCAATAATATCGTGAATGAAATTAATAAAGATACTTTTTTGACTTTCCTACAATTATGGTAACAAATCTTTATGGTCAATATTATGACCATGTTTTTAGGAATTAAGGTTTACACAATATCTTTATCAAATAACAAATTTTTGAAATAAAAAAAAATACTAAGAATAATAATTTTAAACATTATATGTGGGAATTTCAATATTATGTCAAGTAAATCCCTCTCTCTATTATATAGTAAAAGATATACGAAAAGCAAATCATATATTTACACACAAAATTCATAAATATAAATAATTTATGGAGGATTGAAGTTTATCAATGTTTAATATATCATTCATTATTCTCGGAACAATTTTTTGTTTGATTTATAACATTAATTTGAATGGAAAAAAAATCTGTAATTGTTGGGATATCTCAATTAAAAATTTCAACTTTTTGGCATAAGAATCTACAAATTTGTTACCAATAAAAATAGATTCATATGAGATTAATATTTAAGAAATGAATTAAATTTTGGTATAAGAATCTTCAAATTTGTTACCATAAAAATCTCTAATTTTTTTAGGATATCTCAATTAAATTTGATTCCCAAAGATTTACATGTGTTTTTTCCGAAATTTCTACTAATAGTCAAACCATTTATTTTTTTAGTCAAACTTACTAAAAATATTTTTTCAACAACCTCTTTATATTACTATAGATTATTATTATTATTATTTTTTGTTTCAACTCATTAAGCAAGTTTTTTATGATATAACCATACCTTTTAAAATTTCGTACACAATTGCCATAGTAATAATTTCAGTATTGTTTTATCTAATCAACGGTTCATAATCAAGATAAATTGCAAAAATTATATTATTGCAATCAATATAAATATTAATATGTAAGTTAATTGTTTATATATATGTCGTTCATTTTTACTAATGATAAAATTTAAAAAAATGTGATATGCACATTATCTAACTTATGATTTTAAATTACATACACACATGTAATATATAAAATTTTATTTACATATGTGTATATGCACATGATCGGATACTAGTATAAAGGTAAATCACAGTGCTCTTATAGTATAAAGTATAAACACACCATTTGACACCAACCGACACCCATATAAATGTACATATACATAACACTCACATAAAGTGAGGTCCACTTGATTTTTTATTTTTGGTTAGTCCCACTCAACGTGAGTATTATGTACACTCTTATGTACAATATTATGTACCTATTGCATTTTTTATATCGAAAAAAACCTGAAATTTTTAATGACCGTGTAGTTGTCCATGATAATTTACTGAAAAGCCTATGTCTTAGTCCTTAATATGTTCAGTGAAGTTTTAAAAATGTTACAAAATAGAATTTTATAATTTCAAAAACTCTAATTAAATACATAAAGATCTTAAAGCCTCAAAAGACATTAAAAATTTAAAACGAACTTGTGATACTCTCTCTCTCTCTCTCTGAAATTACCTGAAACTAATTAAATACCTGATTTTTTTTTTATTTTTTTTTTTTTATGTGATTTAGTGTTAGTGGAAGACTCATGTGATTGACTATACTAAAAAGTTGGATTGTAGACAGCACGAACTTCAGACGAACTCTCACGCATTTGTATTTGATATTTCATAGATCATATCTCAAGGATTTTGTAAAATATATGCAAACATATGTTGTGTTGATTAAAAGTGCTTAAAAAAGTTCGAATTGTAACATGTTCTCTTATGCCTAAGGTGTATATAGTCCTGTTTCTTTACTCGTTTTCACATAATTACTTCAAATATTAAATTTTGATTTGACTGCGAAAAGTCTACATTTCGTTTTGTCCTTGGAAGCCCAGCTTTTTTTTNNNNTACTAAACGTGTAATTTTTTTTTCTTTATTCTTGAGGTGGCAAATAGCATTAAATCAATTTTGCTAAAGTAATCTGAGATTTGCAAATGAGATGAAGGAAAATTGAAACTCCCTCCCACCCAATTGAATAGATTTGGACAAAAGTTTTATGTACGTGCAACATATTAAAAATGATAAATAAAGATAATACGAAATATAGTACGATTAATCATTTTATTAAATTCAAATTAAAGTATATAAATTTATACGATATGAGTTAAAAAACATTATAACCTACTATGAACGAGCATTACAGATGCCATTTTAACAAAAAATGATATAAGTTATTATTAAATATTCGTCGGATTGAATCATCTAATGGTAAAAAAGAATCAGCCATTTTACATTAAGTAAGGGCAACCTAGACATTTCTCAACAATCCATCATTAGTGGGACCACCCTAACCAAACACACCTCTTCACGTGACACCAATCTCTCACTCAAATTCACTCTCTCTCTTCCCCCACCCCCTCTTTCTCTCTCTCTCACGCACACACAAGCACCTCTGCAACTAAAAATCGGTTCCCTCTACCAATTAAAAAAAAAAAGTTCCGTTCCCGCAGGTCACTGGCGTCTGCCCGTCGCGGTATCTGCGGCCACAACAACGGCGCTTTCTATGGCGACATGAACCAGGCTCGCAGACTCGCCGTCGACCACTGGAGCCGTCAAACTCCGCCGGCAACGTCCTCGACCGCCGGAGGGACTCTTTGAGACAACGGCGGCGGCAGCCGTCAAACTTCGCCGTCGTCCTCGTCTACAGCGTACTTTTCATCCGACGAAGGTCTCCATCTTCAGCATTAGTAGAATCGCCGATGGTGGCGGGGCGACTACACATCAGGAGACAAACACTTCAGTCGTGGTTGTTCAAGGATTTGATTGCAATTCTGTAATTTATAAAAATAATATAAATAAATATTATTTTTATATATATCTAGAATTTTGTGTCCGAGTCTCTAGATAGAAATTCATGGTTGATGGTAATTGTTGTTGGATTAATGGATTTTTCTAACCTGACATTGTAGCCATTTTTTCCACAATAGACTACTGTAGGTTGCTGTGTAACAAATTTCTGAGTGAACTTAAATCAAGCTAGCTCCACAAGTTGCTCTGGCAATACTTACCAATGCATTAAACTTCGATAAATAACAGAGCCAATGATTTTTGCTAAACTCAAGAGATGAAATTAACTCCAAATCGAAACAAGTCAATATTTTGCACTAGGTAAGCTGTACATCAAGTTTTCCGCGAATAACAATGCTATTGATTTTTGCTATTTAAAAGTGATAAAATTCATTTCTAACCAGCATTCAGTTTCTCCATTGGGGGATATTGAGAGAAAAAGGGCAATTTGATGGGATTTTTTTTTTTTTTTTTTTTTTTTTCTACAAAACANAAGGGACAAGTGTTTGGGACATTAAAAGACAATTTTGTACCAAATGCAAATAACAGTAGCACACAAATTGTTATGAAATTAACTCTATTTTGTAATTTATTATTTTTTATATATTTTTATACTTTTATACATATGTATAAATCATATTTTTTTCAACCAAAAAATAGTATAAAATATCAATTAAAATATTAGAATACTAAATTTATTTTTATACAAATAGTTGCGCTTCGAGTGCACATTAATGTTGCACGAATTGCACATTATTGATTATCAGATTGCACTATAGCGGTTGAAACGGACGCACAAAGCTTTGGGTTCGAACTTTATGTTTTACTTCGATTATTTGTGTTTACTTTTAAAATTTTGGTTATCTTGGTGTGATGTCAACTTTATTGTTTAATATAACTAAACCGATCGAACTATATAAAAAAATATTATTTTATTATAAATATATATATTATATACATTTTGGGTATTTAAAATAAAAATAATAAATTAGTTTGATTATTTAGGTCAATTTGATTAACAAACAAAACAACTCAATTATTTCGGTTCAATTTCAAGTTGAATTAGCATAAAAAAAATAATATAAAATATTGCATAGACATATTAACATACTTGATATATTTATATATTATAAATAATAAAAGTTTGATTATTTAGGTAAATTTGATTAACCAACAAAATAACTAAAATATTTCGGTTCGATTTCAGGTTGAATTTGCACAAGAATAAAATAAAATAATAAAAATACTTTTATAATAAATTATTTCAATTATTTAAGTTAATTAGATGTACAATTATATCTATTAAAATATAATTTTAAAAACTACGTAATTTATATGTGATCATTTAAAGTAGTGCATTTTATATATCAGCACGATGCACTTTATAAAACAACATGTTGCACATTATAAAACAACACGTTGCACTTTATCACTACAATCGACAACTAACATCAACAACTCCCGCCAAAATACCACACAACGAAATTTAAAAACGGATATACAAAATACGTTAAAATCAATCACATCATTTATCCAAGCAACAACACAAGCATGATAATGTACGAAAATTACAGTAGCTAAATTTTATACATCATCACGTTGCACTTTATAAAACAGTATATTGAACTTTACAGAAATAAGTTGCACTTTATCACGACTAACATATTGCACAATAGAGATCGAACCGACCGAACTCAAAACTTTTCAACCAAAAATAATATGAAAATAATAATATTATTATTAACATATTAGATATAATTTTAATACAATTTACAAATTATTACGATTATTTAAGATAATTCGATTAATCGAACTAAATAAATCAATTATGTTCATTTTCAATTTGATTCGGGACAAAAGTTCGGTTGGTTCAATCTGCAAACTACAAACCAACACCGTGCACCATAATGTTGGCCGAATTGTACATTAATAACTGTTAGATTGCACGTTATATTTCGTTTACATATATACTAATTTTTTAATCAAAAAAATAATATAAATATCAAATAAGAAAATATTAAATAATAATCATGTTTTTTAATAATAAATTATGTAATTTTTAAAGTGGGCCAGCTTAACACTTTTTAAAATCATGTAATTTTTAATAATAAATCATGTAAATAAATCATGTTTTTTTCATAATAATCACGTTGATAACCGTGCCTGCTCCAACTTCAATCTGAAATGTTATATGCTTAACACAGGAAGACAGAGGAATAGACAATTTCAACGCACAACAAGAATCTACAAAATCAGAAGCCAGAAAATAGCAAAACCCTCGCAATCAAGATTCATCCTCAGGCTTTTTCATCAAATTATATCAGAAGCCCCAACAGCCACTAATGGCGTTTCCGAAAACATAAAAAATCCTAAATCAATCAACACCCGCTCATCTTCCTCATGACTATCAAATCCCCAAAGATCCCATTTTTCGTCGTCTGCCAACACCCCAGGTATTCGCCGAAATTCCGACATACATGCCAAATTTTTACCGGCCGAGAATAAAAGTTATTTAATTTTCGAAATTAAACTCCCCCAATTCCCTCAATACACAGCCGTCGTCGTCACCATTCTCAGGCCACTTCTCGTCTGCTGTTGCTTCTCTCTGGCCGCCACCTCTCACGGCGGTGGCTGGTCTGATTCCAGCGAGAGCATACTGACGGGGTGGGCCTCCGGCGATGGCGAAGAAAGACGGGTATGGTGTCTGGAGAAGGCCAGATCTATGCCGGCAAGGTGGTCGTCGGCTATGGCGGTCGGCGGTGGACGGCAGCCGGCGGTGCAGAGGACCTGGTGTTGCTGTTTTGGCCGGGTGGATGTAGTGCGTGTGTGTGTGCGAATGTGATGGTGTGTGTATATGTGTGAGAGAGAATGTGGGTCGTGGCTCGTGGGTGTGTGTTACTGTGTGAGGGTGATGAGATGTGATTAGTTAGGTCACACACATGATAAGAATTATTTAAAATGACTTAATTAACCTTAATGAGTGTTGAATGACCATATTACTCTTAATGAGCTTGACTATAATTACTAACTTTGACTTCATCATGACCATTAATATGTTGGATCTAATGGTCTACAGTCATTCTTATTTCTTTCACAAGGAATCATTCTCATATGATCCCTTCTATATATATATATATATATATATATATATATATATATTATAGGGATTGGTTCCAATGCATCCCATTATTTAAAGTGAGGACGTGAGACTCATTCCTAGCCACAAGATTTAGATCTTGATTTAAATAATATTTCTTTATTTTTATTATTTAATTATTAATTTTTAATTATTTAAATATTATTATGACCATTGACCGTTGACTCCGGCGTTGACCGTTGACTTCCGGTGTTGACTTTCGGCGAAAATCGTTGACTTCCGGCGTTGACCGTTGACTCCGGCGTTGACTTTCGATGTTGACCGTNATAAACACCAATGTTTTATTTTAAAAAACAACAAAATTAATCGTCTTTTCAGTTATTTATTTATTTTGTACAAAAAATCAAGATAAAAATAATAAAAAAATAATACATTAATGGATTTCCTTTATCTATTTAATTTGTATAGTTAAGATAAAAAAAAAAAACTCTTTCTTCTTTTTATTTTTAAATGTGAAACATACTGAAATTTGAAACATACTTAAAAATGGAATTTCGATTGAAATGCTGCAATCTGAAACATACAGCAAGTTTGTATCATTCCAAAATTTCACGTCTTTTTAATATTTATGTGAAATAGATTTTCACCACACTAATAAAGAGAAGTATAGCATAAATAAAAGTAAGAGTGTTATATAATTACTATTTTATACTGTCAAATATATCATCATTAAAGAGAAGTAATTGCACACATAAAAATAAGATATTATATAATTCATATTTTTATAGATGGTGTATCCAATTGAAACTTTCAAAGACTCCTTAAAATAAGTGACATTGATGGAGTTTGTAAAACTTTAATGGAACACTGAAATTTCATACAAATCTTATCAGACGTTCTAAAACTTTCGCCATGTTTTTTTAAACTTATTGAGATTTTTATATACTTATAGTATAACTGCATAAAATGTTTATGAACTTTGCTCACAACTAATATTAGTAAAATTAAGCTAGTTTATTTATTTATTTTGTAAATATTAATTGAAATGAGTTCAAATAGTAAACATTAGATATTCAACGAGAAAAAAGAAAAACAAAAATTTTGCAGCATTACAAATGTGTAAGTAACAGATGAATAAATAATCCCCAAAGCTTTGAAATCAACTTTAGAATTGTTATTCAAACTGAGTCATTTGCAAACACAACATTGTTCTACTGAAAGCTCAAGCTCGTCTCATTTATTTTCTAAAATGGATCGAGCTTGGACAACTATCGAGAGAATCGAAGTGAGTTTTTCATGAAGCACTCATTTATTAATTATGTAATTTTAATAAAATACACAATCGTATTGAACTTGTCTGCAATAATATTTTATTTTTACGAACAACTCGTTTAGGATCTTAAGTTTATTAAACGAGCTCAAGTCAATCTGAGCTTTCGATAGCGTCAATGAATCAAACTCAAGCTGAACATTATATTCATTTATTAAACAAGCTCAAACTTAAATCGAGCTTTCGATAGCGTCAATGAGTCGAACTCAATCTGAGCGTTATATTCATTTATTAAACAAGCTCAAACTCAAACATGAGTTACTCATCTTGCATAGAATGAAATTCATAATTAACCTGATCTTGACATATTTACATGATCATTATCAAATTTTATTTTGATTTTCTTATACTTTTCATCATGTTGAAGTATTAGAAAAATATTAGGATATATTTTTACGAGGCACAAACATCGTCAAAAGAGAGGGG